TAGTTACAACAGCTTAAACTGACTATGAACCACCCTTTAATGGAACTGAATGGCCTAACAAGAGGCCTGCTTTAATCAAGATCAGTTCCCCAAGTGGTCTGCCACACGGCCTCACAAACCGTCATGGCAGACTGTGGCTATGGGCGAAGCGAGTGAGAAGTTAAGAAGCTCATGCTATGTCTTTCCAGCACAGCATCATCAGTTTATTGCCAATTTAAAGTACTCATGAAAATGGCCTTGAATATTAGAAGTCTTTTATGGAGATGATCAGAAGCTGTACTTGTGTTTGTATCTCTCTGTCACAAAAGGGGATTTCTTTCAGTTCTGTTGGAATATGACAACCCCCAGAAAGCAAAGCTCCTAGAAGCCTTAAACGAGGTAATTACTGAACTTACCTTCTTCTTCTCTAATCCGCTTTCTGGAAAGAAAACAGAAAGTGAATACTCATAGCCACATCTCTGTAGATGATCTGCCACCAAACTGTTGGAAGCTGTGATCAGAAGTGAACTGTCATCACTTGGAACAGCCTGTGGCTGAAGTTTTCCACTTAAAATCGGGTGCATTAGTTCATGGATTAGCTGGTTTCGGAGCTGTGTCTGATACAGAAAAGATATTATATTCTCAGTTTACCTGTTGTTCAGTGAGAGTTTTTATTTTTCAAAATTCACAAGGAGCCTCATTTCACTTGTACATGCTCTATTACAACCCGCATAACAGAAACAGGCAGGCTAAATTCGGCAAAATTTAGAAGAGTGCTTGGGACACCGTGCCTTTCTTGAAAACACTCCAATGGCGGCTACAGTGATCTTTGACTTTACCTCAAGATGCATCAAATGTAGGACTGAAAAGAAGTATTGTTCTCAGTCAATAACTCACATAAATGCCACTCTAGTAGCCCCAGCTTCATTTTTTGATCACTGCTTTCCTGTTCTCCTTCTCTCTGGCTTAAATAAAGTACGCCTGATGTGGCCTCAATTTCAAGTGTGCTTGGAAAACTCACTAGTCCTCTTCTGAGGCTCATATCAAGAAGCTCCCAATGCCATCACAAAAGCAGATGGGAAAATAAGCAGGGAATTCAATGTCTTTAACATCCATTATTTTGTAGGGAAGCAAAAGGGTACTAATCAAAAAACCTACAGGCACTAATAGCATTTTTTATTATTTATTTGCATTTATGAGTTACAACAGAGGAAAAAAGTAACCTAAATTAGAAAGTGTCCCTCCTGTAAAAGGAAGAAATAATAATTTTCATCATGTAAATATACAAATTGTTTATAGCATACTAAAAGATCACGACAGAAACAGTGTTTTAAGCTTTGAACAGCAGGCATACAACAGTTTGATTAAAGTAGTGTGTTACCAAAAAGGGGACAAAATATTAAGTGCTTACCAAAACTTAACAAAGCTACATCATCAGACTAGCCTGATATTTTAGCATGGCTTTCTACAGAAATTAGGCTGACAAAACAGTTTTTTCAGTTGTCTTCATTTCTCTGTAATTAATTTCTGAACTTATGTAGTTTCAACCGTGACAGAGATGAGGCTGTCTTAGAAACACCCGAGACCTGGCACGTCTGATACATCTCATGACAAAGTGCAGGTGGAAAATACAGGGCTACATCCCTGTCCCTAGAGTGGGAAAGGAAGGCAGAAATCAGCTGTTATATGTTGGCTGTTCAGCATACCTATAGCTCCAGGTCCGCCCTGCCTCTTACCAGCAGTGGCAGTCAGGTAAGACCACGAGAAAGTTGAGAAAAATCTCATCAGATGATGTAAGAGTGTTTGCAGGAATCCGTAAGAAACCCCGCTGTATTAATTCTTCAGCTCAGAAAAGCTATAAAATCTTTTAACAGTGTGTATAATCTTCCAGACAAGGAAAACGATGACGACACAAAACTGGGAGGAGTGGTGGATACACTGGAAGGCTGCTGCCATCCAGCAAGACCTGGACAGGCTGGAGGGTTGGACGCAGAGGAACCTGTTGGGAGTTCAAGGGCAAATGCAGGGTCCTGCACCTGGGGAGGAACAACCCCATGCACCAGTACAGGCTTGGGGCGGACCTGCTGGAGAGCAGCTCTGTGGAGAGGGACCTGGGTGTCCTGGTGGACGACAGGTTGGCCATGAGCCAGCAGTGTGCCCTGGCTGCCAAGAAAGCCAATGGGATCCTGGGGTGCATTAGGAGGAGTGTGGCCAGCAGGTCGAGGGAGGTTCTCCTCCTACTCTACTCTGCCCTAGGGAGTAGTGTGTCCAGTTCTGTGCTCCACAGGTCAAGCCAGATGCCGAGCTA